AGAATATTATACTTCAAAGGAAATATCACACTAGCTTTTAACACATTTTCTATGATATCTTCCCCAAATCACTTGGACATAATGCAATAGTTCATTCTTTTCAATCACTGTTCTACCATCTCGATCTACTTCACTACCTCCCTTCCTATTACCTCAGGAACCATATCTAGTTACGATTTCTACAGATTCACCCATCCTGGGTTTCCTATGCCCAACTCTATATAGAAAAATAACAGAAAGTGAAGAAGGCTACCCCAAATAACAAAATACAACCAAGATAAGTCCCAAATTGAAGAGATGAACAGAGAAAGTAGTAAAAAGCAATCTAACCTAAAATGTATCAAAAGAGAGATCAAATGACTAGATTTTAACCATTCAAGTAAAATTTATCATTTTAATCTACTTTAATCATCTCTATAATACTCTCTGTCTGATAACCAGGCTAGATCAAAGGAGGTACAATTGTCTGTTTCTGTAATTATACAATGCTGAAATTAAAGAGAATGCCACTATGCTTTGAAAATATATCAATTTTACCTCTCAATCTACTGTATCTAGTTTTACATGGAAAATCAGAAAAACAAAGTTGAAGTTCAATGATTGGAGGTAGTGAGGCTTCTGTAACCTAATTCCCATGAATTATCATTAGAACTGCTCAGGTTTTCAGGGTCCCCAACAAGAAAAACAAAGACCCTGCAAGCATCAGAGTTTTAATGGTGATAGCCAAGGGCGTTCAAAATATTAAGTTGCACAAAATGCAAGATGGAAAGGGTTATTGGGCACAACTCTCACACAAGACATTTCAGGGACCTCCAACAAGATTGTTTTCATATGAATGTGTGCTTGGATGTGTACTTAGTGTATTAAGCCTATAACCTGGATTAACTTCAGTCCAGAACCATTACAGCATATATCTGCTACTATACTTTATAATGTTGGAGCTGCCAAAAACATACAAGAACTTAGCAGCATACCAAGGATCTCTTCTTTTTTTTTTTCTTTCAAATTTTCAATCCTGACTCAACAGATTGAGTACAGGCAACTGGAGATTAGTGAGTGTGTTTTACTTTTTCTTTATACATTAAAAAAAAAAAAGTCTGCTCTTTGAAATTCTGATCTGCAATTTGTTCATCTTAGGATTTGCTATCATGGATTGATCACAGGAATTCAGACCTCAGTACTAATTCTGCCACTTGAAAGTCCTCAACACACACCTAATGTGTAATGGATCAATGTCACGTGTTACAGTCAGTTACTGCTCTTGCTGAGGATATCTGAATAATTTGATCACCTCACCTTCTTTTCTGGGACAAAATATCTAGAACTTGTTCTCACTTCTTTTATTTTGTTCTGTGCCACTCTTTAATTAACACATTTAAATACCTATATTTGGTGGTAACCATTAGGGCAGACAAAAGAGGAAAAAGTGAAGTTATAGTGAAATCAAGTGGAATTATTTGGGGTTCAGTGAGTTGTCCATAATTGAAGCTTAGGACCACAAAATATATGTCAGTCTACCCAAACTGTTTAAAATGTCCTTTTGAAACATCAGACCTATCAGTAAGCTGTGCACCAAGGTGAACACATTAAACAAACTATCCATTGAAACCATGAAAATGAGAGCAAATTGAGTTTTTGGAGTGGATATGCTATTCTTAATATGATGCTCAAGTTATCATATATTGTATGCTGCATACTTACTCTAAAGGCATGCCAAAAATGTTTCAAAGAAAAGTAGCTTGATAATAAAACATTACATGAAAATACTTATATTAAAAATTAGTCCTCTTTTGTCTGAAATTTAAGTATAATTGAATACCTTTAAAAAATAATCTGATAGTTTCATTCCAAGGTTCTATTTTAAGAGAGATGAAATTTTCACTTGAAATAAACAGCTCTTTATTTGTAGTATCTAAGGCCAGTACTTTGGATATTTTGTCAGGAGAAACCAGTCCATGAAGATGGAAATCATGGTTGGTAAAGTGGAAGGGCAGTGACTTCATCAATGTGTTTAGGCATAGAAAAAATAGTGAGGCTAGCACAGGAGACAGTGTTTTATTCTATTTTGCATAAAGCCACTATGGGTGGAAGCCCATTCAATGGCACTTCACAACA